AAGGGAGCAAGGCTAGTACAGAACATTCTGAAGACCTTGCTCTGCCTGCATCTAAAAGGGCTTTCACGAATAACACACCGCTACTCAAAGAACCAACCCTGGTGAACAGTGCTGGTTGTCCTCAGGCCCGAAAACAGGATGTGACAACCTGACAGTCTTTGAGTTCTATCACCTAATCCCTCTTTGATAACAAGAGGATAAATTTAACTCACCATAAATTAGTTTATTACAACCTTGTGTACAGCATTGGCTGCTGACATTACACACATTGTCTTTAACACCTGGACCCAAAGCTAAAATATTATGATAACCTTATTCAGTCCTCCAGTTGCCCTACTATTTCAGTTATCAGATAGGACTCCAACAAGAGGGAAGAAGACCAGGTCATGTTGATCTCTGTCGATGGCTGTAACAATAGAGTAACTCTGATGCTAAAAAACGGCACTGAAAATGCCCTAAATTACTATATTTAATTAACACAGTAGCTAAGTGCCTTCTCATACCTTAGCTCCTACAGGATGTGGTCTAGTGAGGAAAACTGGCCAACTGATGATGTATTTCAAGATCCAGACTGGAATTAGACAAGCATTTCAGAAACGTATACAGCCGTCTTACCCTTATGCAATCTAATATAGCTTTGTGACGTCTCTTGCCCAATTCATACTTTGTTAAAAGAATCGTCACTTATGACATTCCCTTTTAGTAGGGGAAGAACCATGAAGAAAGAGAACTGAAATGACTTATCTTGGGCTACCCAGGAAAAATGTGGGTAACTTAGGGATGAATTGCACAGCACTTCTTAGCATCCAGGCTCATACTCTAATTCCCAAACATTATCCTTCTCTGAGACTCTGTATTAAGAAAGCCACTTACTAGAAGCACCAACTCACCAGACACCACCCTTGACCTGTTATTTCAGCCTGAGACAAAATCAACTCCAAAACGTCCAAAACTTGATTGAGTTCTCCTATTCAGAGTCTTCTACGACAAAGCTATTCTTTTCGCTCCTCCTGTAGTCCCACACACACAGTTTTGCTGCTCATGAAGCAAGACTTGATTAAGTTGCTATAACACCTCAGTTTATTGCCAGAGTATCACTTATTCTACACATTGAAAGAAGATGAGGACAAAATTACGCAGCTATGAAATTTAAAGTTACATTAAAATACATACATACTGGTACATGAAATTGAGACACATCCTAACTCCACATAAACCTGTTTTCTTGATTTTTTAAATCTCATTTTTGACATGTAAACAATTATCTTTAAAAAAAAAAGTCATTCAGCTCATAGTAATAGTTCTGCACAACTCTACCACCTTCCCTTCACTGTATCAAAATAAAGCATTGCATTTTGGCCTGTCAGCACTGTAGTGACCATCATTCATCACCTGAAGTACAAAAGCAGAAGTACAGGTAGAGATAAAAGACAGATTCAGCTGCTGCCTTCAGAACTCCAACTCTGTGGGCCATGCATAAAAATGCCAGAGACTGCTAATTAACACCAGTGCTAGTGGCCAACATGTACACAAAAACTTCATTTTACGCAGAGTTTTACCAGATACTGAAAACATACTTCTCCCATATTTATCTACCTCCATGTGTACTACTGTACTGAACTATTTTAATTTATTAAAAATAAAGTAAATCTTACAAAAACACCCAACACTTAATTTATTTTCTTTTACAAAATATTATTTCCTTTTATAAAATTATTTTCTCTTATAAAAAATAAAGTCACAGAAATAAAGCCCGCAGTCAGCAGTGCCAGTAGAACTGGAACCCTGGTAATATTTCTTTGTTCCCAGCACAGTCCCTACTTAGGTTGCCACCCTTCCCTGACCTGTCTGATAAGAAGCCATTGCAGCAGCAAGAGCATCCATTTTGCTTATATCTCACTTAGTAGTTAAGTGTTGCACGCCAAAATAGAGCTGCAGTGCAAAACCAGGAGCCAGTACTGATGAGAAATGAAATGATTTAAAATTGTCTAGCAGTTCTGAGTTAGCCAAGCAGACCTGGAAGGTAGTGGCTATTAACTGGTTTAGCTTACGCCAATCCAAACATCTCATGAAAGAAACAAAAGGTATCCTTATCATTCTAGGATAACCTTGAAGATAAATTTTAGGTTGCAACTTTTTTAAAAGTTGAAACTTTGTGATGTCTTTATAATTGGTGAACTAAGTGCCATTCTCCCACTTCCATAACCTTCTGACTCTTAAAGAGTAGGATTGTTTACTTTCATAATCTAGGAGCAAGTTGCAAGTCTAAATTCCGAACTCTCAGTGAAAGATCAGCAGTTCATAGAAAGGTTGAAGTTGGTCAGTGTTCAGATCAAGACAGACAAACTTGTTTCCTGTGATTTGGTTTATTCTTCTGACCAGCTGGGTTCAGAGAAATTGGAGAAGTGCATACAGAAACTGCTTGTCTACTTAGAGGTGTGTTAGAAAGAAAGCATCTATGAAGGAAGTACGAAGTTTTGATCATGAGTTTCTCCTTCTTGCTTGTAGTTTCATCTGCTTTTTATGGCAGATTAACACACCTGGTAGGTTAACACACATGGCTATGTCTGCCAATATATTTTCTTGTCCTCAGATAAACTGACATTGCTAAGATTCAGCTCCATCTGAGAGTATTAAAACCAGATTATTAGCTGCTACTTGACAACACTCACTCCAATACTACAACACATTGTCACGGACTGTCTGTACATCTCTGCTTTATAAACACCTTACAGTTTCAGCACACTGTTCTGTAACTGACTGGATTTTGGCTTAGCCTGCCTTGCTGGGATTGCTCCCAACCCTATCAATGTATCCGTTATTAAATGTGCAGTTGGGTTTGCTAACTAGCAAATCTACGTACATTCCTAAGCAGAGGACTAGATCAAAAACTAATAATCACTTGAAAAATGTCTGTTCCGCTGACAAGGCCATTCAGATGAGGAAAGTAGGTCTCCATTTACCAAAACTGCAAGGGACTAATCTTGCGTATGGCACATTACAGAGAGACATGATGGCACAGGCCCAGCAGTTTCAAGGGGAGGTGAAGGGTGATGTCTGGAGGAGGCCAGACCAGACTGTGCAGACCAGCTCTTGGAACATGCCTTGAAGAAGACTTGTTGGCTGTGCTGTTGAGCTGATGATAGCTCTGCTTAATGTCACAAACTGTGTTACACTGAAAATGGATTTTCCTCTGTTAATTTTCAATACTAGGTCTTGCAAAAAAGAGCAGGCTGTTGGTAGGGCTTCAAGTAAGACTGAAGTCAGATACTGACAGACAAGGAAAGCTTATCCATACTTAACTTTCAATCATCTTGTCTTTCTTACATCTTTAGAGATCTAGAGTGGCTAGAAGCCTTTTCACGCTTCTAAAAACAAAACTCCCACACCCTCCTCCTGCAAACCTTTAAAATAGTTACTCTCTCCTCTACACTTCACACACTTGTCCTATGTGTGCCCCTTCCCTCTCCTAATTGTCCTCAAAGACAACAGAGGAAAATAATTTTAATCTTTAATTTCTTTGACATTATAACTGGAGTGGGTGGCTAAAATAAGAAAAAGTTAAATATTTATATAATATAAAAATTAAGATTAAGTTGTGTTTAAAAATATCTACCTAACCAGCTGTTCAGAACAGTAAAAGCAGAAGAAAAATAATTGATCAGTTCTGCCAGCTCTTCAGGATATTGTGACTGGCAACAGTACGATATTTTCTACTTCAATTGCAAATATATTTTCATTCACGTATTAAATGTCATGCCTAAGTTTCTGAGTTGATGAAGGAAACAACATGCTCATGCCATGGTCAAGGTTTCATTCTGTGGGTATCAATACCGCATATAGCAGTTTTTCCCTCTCTGACCATGGGAAAAGGAAGACCACACAAGTAAAGTTGTCACAGAATCATAGAACAGTTTCGGTCAGAAGAAACCTTAGAGAACATGGAGTCCAACCTTTAAACACGTACAGTGGAAATAAAGACTGCTGTCATTTTCATACAATCATCGTTTGGATTAAAAAAACCCCAAACATTTCTTTTCTTCCAGATGAAATATACTTCTTTTGTCTACGTATCTCAGAGAAGAAGGAAAAAGACACTGTTCTCTACCTGGATTTCAGCACTCGTTCATTATAGAATATTCTGTCATGATGGTCTCTTCACATCACACTCCTGGAAAACTGCACTGTTTCTTTCACATCATGAGATCAAGTGGAAAGTCCTGTTCTTTCTAAAGAGCTGTTTCAATGCTAGAGGTGCTGCTATATTTTGCTCTGGCTGTACAGCCACATTTCACCAGCATGGGAAAAAACCATCAGGCTTTGGTGAAAAGGAGATGCAAGCTCGCTCACAGGAGAAGTCCAGTCTTGGATTCCAACTGTTAGGTTGACCTTGCACTAAAAACTGCCATTTTTTCTATGGTAGTATTCTGTACTGTTAATGTCCAAAGTGCTAACTGGGTATTTATTTTCATTTATGATAAAACAGAAGCAACACATGGTCTAAATTCTTTCCTTTCTTCTTCTAGGCATTAGGGCTGAGAACTTCAATGTACAATGAGATGCTCAGTGGAATATTCTTAATTGCCTAGCTCTAATCCCACTGAAATTGAGCATCTAAAAATTCTGGCTTGTGGCTTTACCACTGAGCTAAACATGGCAAGTAAGTTTCTTAAAGTTTTGATGCAATATATGTATATTACCACAAGAAATTGTTTTTAAATTACATTCAAGCATATTCAGTTTCCACTCAAGAACTGGAGCATTTCTCATCCTTGAAATTTTGGAATGAGTTGTGCTGTACTACTTCATAAAGGAAATACTTGTCAGCCAGAGACATCCCTTCCTTTACACCTATTCACTTTTGTTAAAACATAAACTTTCAAGTATTGCACCATACAGCAAGACATAGTTTAGAACAGGACCTTTTCTATAGACTTGTAAACAATATTACGGAGGATTTTCTATCCTAAAATTCCTAAAATCATAATTTTTCTGAATACCTGAAAAAAACCCGGTGGTACAGGACCTACTGGCATGCCATCTCCTGGGGGAATGTTTCCTAGCACTGGACTGGGAGCTGCTGCAGCACTCTGAAAAGAACAAAGGGAGAATAAACCTTTGTCATTGCATGGTAGGCATTAAACCCCAGAAAAAAACAAACAAACAAAAAAAACCCCAAAACCTGACCAAAATGCAGAAACTAATTCTCTGGATATGTTATTGTTTCACCTGAAGGTAAATTAAAATTGTATTGTGTTTAGTCTTCGTTTATACAAGTATAATGATTTTTTAAAATAATATATGTTGAAAGGAAGGATCTAGAGATTGCATGGATATACAAATATGCGTCAATTAGACAAATCTTGACTAGATTTTAACAAAATATTGCACCCGAGTATGTCTATATATATACAAATGTGAATTTAACTTGTACATTTTTTCTTGCATTATGTGTATAAATACGCTCACACATGCACAAGGATATACATAGAGTATAAAGAAAGTAATGTATGCTTTTTACCAGCAATTGCCAAGCACTTTAAAGATAATTTCAGCAGACTGTAATATTCTTTCAGAACTACATCAAGCTTCAGAACAGGATTCTCTTACAAGCAGCACAAGAAAGAACGCTCATGATTCTGCTAGTAATGCTTATGCTTTTACCAACCCCAAAAATAACCACCATGACAAATTAGAAGAATTCAGGTTATGTTTTTGAAAGCGAAAAGAAAAAAGGGATTTCTAAAAAGTGAATCAGAGGATGAAATTAGTTACCTTTGGAAATCCTTCAGTTGGAATAAGCAAGTAAAGAACACTGCTTCTGGCAATATACAAGCAGGAGATCATGACAAAAAGGGAAGCCAAACTGTTATTGTTGTCATGTATTGGAACCTCAATTACTTTTAATTTCTAGCAGTCTTCCTTCCTGCAATGTGTTTCTGTAGGGCATAATGCTGAATCACCTACAAACGCTTACAATCTTCTGTGAAAGTACTCATGCACACAAAATGCATCGAGAGCCACTAGTAGCTTACTAATGACCTGCCAATATCTGCCCTACAGAGCATGAATGGCTTATGTTTATTAACTTATCACTCTATTGTATGCTCACACCTGATATCTAAAAGACGCAGATATGGAAACCATACTTCCAGGTGTTTGGCACACTGTCTAGGAAATTAAAAGGAAAAATGCTGGAAAGACTTGAAAACTGGCACAAGGAAGGGCTGACCTTTTTAAACCATGCAGAAAGGAAATATTCAGTTAATTACCACAGATTTGTCGATGGCTTAAGCTGTGCTTTAGAATTAAATTTCTGAACAACTAACAGCAGCATATTTAGCATCTAAGCTGCACGTTCTTTCCAAACAAAAGTCTAGAACATATCATTAAAATACAAAGACTGCAGAAAGTGCTGGATTCCGAACTGAGTGCAAGACAGATTCTCCCAAAAACACTGTAATAAGGAGTCTTATTTATGCAAGGGTCTGGTCTGCAGGATCGGTATTTAAATGCTACAGAATTGCAACTGACAGAAAAAGGCAGTCAGGTGAGCTGGATGTAGCAAATACTTTTCAATCATGGAGTATGATGCTGCTTAGATAAGACTCCCTGTAAGGTCTCACATACATCTCCTGGGTTTGTCGCAGCCTCTTGGCCTCCTGTGCATTGGGGGAAATTAGCAAGTGGTGTGAATGCACAGAAATAACTCCTAAAGAACAAAATAATTTTGTTATCCTTCCTTTCTTTTGCACAGTTTCTGTGAATTTCCATCACTTACTTTCAGATTATCTACATTTCCAAAGGAAAAGAGAAGAGAAAGTTTTTAGCTTTTGTTTGTTTAGAGTTTGGGGTTTTTTTAATGAAAAAAAGAGAGCTGTTGAAAGGGAGCATCAAGAAATAATGTCAAGTAAAATCATGAAGAGTTGCAGACACAGTTTGAGTGTATCACGTTGGATCTTAATTCTGTATGTACAGGTTTTCTAGATGAAGAATGACAACAGTAGCATCAGTGATGGAGAAAATCAGTGACATTAAAAGCCTGAGCATCTTAAAATGACCAAAATAGCCTGCACTGCAGTCTTCAACTAAGAAGGAGTAGCCTGTTTAATGGGCACTAATAATGATGATCCTTATTATAACATCATCCCTACTTGCATACTAAGTCCTGATGGCCCCTATGCTACTTCAGCTGTGTCCACCCTTACCAGTCATGTAAAATGCCCTGTAATACGTGCCACGGAGCTCATGCTACAGAATATAGCATTTGAACAGGCTGTAACAAATAAATGGTCCAACATATCTCAACACTATCAAGTCCGATAAGCAAAATACTGTTAAGTTATAAGCTCTCTGAAAAAGAAGAGCTAAGCAGCACCTCTATCTGACACATAGCCAGTTTTCAGAAGTATTCCATCCCAGATTTCTTCACTCCTGCTCACATTATTTAAACAAAATGATACCAGGCATTAATGCATGTCAGAGTGCCTTAATGCACTCAATGGCTTTTAGATGTCCTCTTCTAACTGCAGCCTTTGCCAGAGCCCCTAGATCACGAAAGTGTGCTTGTGAGAAGAAGGAGTGAATGACTTTCTGGGATGCAGTGCTCCTACAGGGATATAGTGATCTGTCCCTGCTGAGTTCGTTCTGTTTCCCACACTTTGAAAATCACTTTAAAAAAGTAAAATGGTAAGATATACTTAACAGTTTAAAAAAGAAAAGAAGGAAATAATGGTTATTCCAAAATGGGAGAAAAGGATTGAAATACTATCTGTTAAGATTCATGTTAGCCATTAAACCTTCTAATAAGGCTTTATAAGAAATAAAGTTAACATTTTCGTAATTGCCTCAATAGTGGGTTGTTTGTTTTGGGGTTGTTTTTTTTTTCCTATATTTGAATCTGATATAGGGCTGACCTCAGAGGAACCCAGCTTCATTCCTTGGTGAACCTCAGAGACCAGCACACAACTCAACAGGACTGGTCGAATGGGCACAGGACAGTTCTTTGTCTCCTGAGCTACAGGCACTGCAATGAATTTAAATTCTACCTCACAGATTTAATGACACAGAGGGGTTGCCAATTCCTGTGAGGGTGATACAGCTCCAGAGTAACCACTTTTTTTAGGAGATAACTTTGTTGATGTTGAAGATATGTAGAAAGCAGCCAGATGTTGCGAATTCCTGTGAGTGGGATACAGCTCCAGAGTAACCACTTTTTTTAGGAGATAACTTTGTTGATGTTGAAGATATGTAGAAAGCAGCCAGATGAAGCCAACACATGCGATTGGACGTCTTCTACAGCTTCCTCAGAAAGCCTTCTGCTTGGAGGACTTAAGTCCCATTCTTGAGAGCTGCCCTGTGGGTGGCCAAGAGACCTGAGCAGTGCTATTGATGGATATCAGAGGAATCATTTGTGATGATGAAGAGGGAACAAAAACAAGGTGTTGTGGAGGTGATTTCACAAGTGATCCAGACTGATTTACTCAATCTTGATTCTCCTGGTTTCCAGAAAAAAAAGGCTCATCTAGAAGGGAAGCAGCTCTTTGCTTCAGGCTAGTTACTCAAAATTAAATTAATTCACTGAAGTTGGACATTTTGTGATTGTGAACTATGATATTTCAGGAACATATTCCATGTGTTGATTTTAATTGGCCTGAGCCAATTTTAATTATCTGAGCTGTGATTACACCATGCAGTTTACAGACACTCATGCAAAATCATCGCTCCTCCCTATTTCCAAGGGGGAAGGAGGACAGAACATCAAAGCCTGAGTGGCCGTAACAGTAGGTCAGTTTTACTGACATCTGAAGTACCGCTTAATAATTGTATATAGTTAGACTGTTTCTGCAACAGTCCAGTCTAAGGTGTTACAGAAACTTCAATTTCTAACTTTCATTATGTAATGTACTGTTGTTTCTTTTTTTTGTTGTCATGTTTGATAGTTTGGGATCGTCCCTGATGAATCCCCAGAAATGAAGGATTTTCAGTGTTTTAGGCATATTACATTTTCTAGTGTGCACTATCCAATGAACATTTCAAGAACTTAGACCAGGTAGATCAATAAACAAACCTGCAACTGCTGCATTGAAATATTCTTATTTATTCTATCCTGATGAATTATTCACTTCTTTTTTCACAGTCCCACAGTGAATCATGGCTTCTTTTTGCATGCATTACAAGTTGTTCATCATTTATACCTCCATTAGTCTGACATTTTAAATATTTGCAATTTGCTTTCCTAGCTTTTCATAAAAAGATGAAATAGGAAAATTTAAATGGTTTAATCTTTCTGTGCAGTTTCTCACCTCCTTAAAAACGGAAAACTGCTTTTTCAACTAAAATACTGTATTTACGATATCTCTTTACCATTATTAATTAAAATGGTGTACTTGAATGAAACTTAAAGGTCATTTTTTGCTCTGCCCAAGCTACTCTCAACAATGTGAAAACAGACGATTACATTAAAAAAATTAAAGTCATCCATGGTTTAGGCCATTTTTTACAATAAGGGGATCACAAAGTAAATAAAAATTAGAAATAAAATAAGTTAGTTATTCTCCTAGAACACTATATGAAACACAAAAATCCAGGAACACAAGGTGATCTTCTGAAGGTATCAGAAGAAGTGGTTTATGGCAGACGCTCATAGAAGAATTCCATTTCCAACAGAAGAGTTTTACAAAGAAATTACTTGACTTTATATGTAAAAGTCCTCATCTGGTTCATTCACTAATCTGGGCATCTCATTTCAGGTATTTTTCTTTGACTAAGACGTACTTATTTTTACCCAAAGTAAGATGTTTATCATGTTACTAAATTCTTCCACAAAAAAAGAGGCTTCTAATTTTTTAAAAGTCTACTTGATGATAAATGATGAAATCTACTTTACAATGGAATACAGAAGTTGCACCTCACATGTGACAGATCTACAGCCACTCTTGGCCATGCAACTCCCTCACCATTCACATCTCCTCTGTAAACCTCCTCTATATCAGCCGTACATCTCCTGTGTGAGCTGGAAGGTCCTAGTTCCTGCCAAATTACTAGAGGTGGTGAGTACCCACTTCTTCAGCTGCATCTAGCATCAAGCCAATCCCTCCTGATACTAGTTTATTCAGAGGCAGTGTTCTTGTGTTCTGTCTTCTGTGGCAAGGCTCGAGCATGTTCCTCGTGTGTCATGCTGTGACGACCATGCACGTACAAGCGCCTGACGGACTCCTGGCAGAGATAATGACACTGAAACTACTGGCACTGGTGTTTATGATGAAGGCCAGTTTAAACTTCTAGCTTAGGATTTAACAATGCTAAAACTGGTATCAAAGAAGAAGAGGGAGCAGTACTTTGTTGAGAGCACAGCAGCAGCATCAGGATGAAGAAGAAGCTGCTTCTGGCTTGGAAGAAGGTGTGGAGATAGACCTAAGGTACAGATGCTTGCCAGTGCTCTCAAGCTTCAGTCTCTCTCTTGAAAATATATTATTTCTATAGAGTCTGAAACAGTTATGAAGTCAATTTTCCCTTTTAAAGATGTTTCCTCTCACTATCTGCACAGTAGATACAGCTGTGCCTTTCCACCCTCCACAACACTTCCCACCCCACGGCACATGTGAGCAAAGTGTGACTGGGAATGCTTTACCACCACCCGAAGTTGTTACTCTGCCACACACTGCTGGAAGCAGCAGCCTCTTGATGCTTCCACGGGTCATCTCCAGGCTGACAGAGGCTCTCGAAGGTGGCCCTTGTCCCCGAGCACCATGGTAGAAGAGGGTACTCTCTGGACACTGCAATGCCCACCTAGAAGGTTCACACATTGTTGCCACATGGCTCGATGGACAATGAGTGTGATGCCCCATGAAAGCAAAGGCAGCCCATGGTGAACTGGCATCATCGGTTCATTACTTAAAAAATTTTGTACTGGTAAAATTCTGTAGCACAAATGTGCCTGAAATTAAACTAGAAGAACAAACTTCCAAGCTGCCTTCATGAGTCCTACAAGCTGAAGAGTCTGCACAGCAGCATTTCATTACAGAACTGGCCTCCAATCACAGAATCACACAAAATCACAGAACATTAGGGGTTGGAAGGGACCTCTGGAGGTCATCTAGTCTGAACTCCACTGCCAGAGCAGGATCACCTAGAGCAGGTTGCACAGGATGGTGTCCAGGCGGGTTTTGTATGTCCCCAGAGATGGAGACTCCGCAACCTCTCTGGACAGCCTGTGCCAGGGCTCTGTCACCCTTAGAGTAAAGAAGTTCCTCCTCATGTTTAGCTGGAACTTTCTATGTCCAAGCTTGTGCCCGTTACCTCTTGTGCTGTCACTGGGCATCACTGAGAAAAGACTGGCCCCATCCTCCTGACACCTGCCCTCTAAGGATCTATAAGCATTGATAAGATCCCCCCTCAGGCTTCTCCAGAGTAAAAAGACCCAAGTCCTTCAGCCTTTCTTCATTAGAGAGATGTTCCAGTCCCCTAACTGTCTTTGTAGCCCTTTCCTGTGCCCTCTCCAGTAGTTCCTTATCTTCCTCAAACTGGAGAGCCCAGAACTGGACACCAGCACAGAGTAGAGGAGGAGGAGGACCTCCCTCAACCTGCTGGCCACACTCTTCTTGATGCATCCCAGGATGCCATTTGCCTGCTTGGCCACAAGGGCACATTGCTGGCCCATGGTCATCCTGCTGTCCACAAAGACTCCCAGGTCTTTGTCCACAGAGCTGCTTTCCAGCAGGTGAGCCCTCAGCCTGTACTAATACGTGGTAATCATTGTAACTATGGGTTGTGCACACTATTTTTCTGGTTCAAGGTCAAGAAAAAACAAACATACCAAAAGCAGCCAAGAAAATTTGTGTTTACACCAGCTCTCAGAAGTCCGAAGCCTGAACAGCACTTGATGAAAGTGACCTATGGTGTAGGAATGCCTGCTCCTCATATTACTTCTGCTGTGCCTCTTAATTAATGATACAACTGAAAGTTTTGCTTTTGATTACTTAAAAATTTCATATATTGAGTGATAATCAGAAAAAAAGACTAAGGTACTCTGAACTATTGTAAGCAATGTCAGGCATACTTCAGCTTTCTTTCCTCTTTCCCAAACTAGCTTCAGGGAGAAATTAGGTCATGGGAATTTTGGCAAGATCTTCAGAAATAATAACACTTAAATTAGTTTCTCTGAAATACAGGTTTTTCATCAAGAGTGACATTTTCATAAGAAATCTACTTCAGATCAATTCCAAGAACTAGCTGTATTATATATGCAGTATAGTTTTATATTTCATCTAAACCTTAATGTGACTAAGATGTATTTACTCACATTCAAATACTGAAATAGGTGGCACTTAACATAGTGTTAATGATCATCCTGCAATAAATAAACCAATTATTATTTTATTTTAAAATCACTGAGCTTTCTAACCTAAATTAATTTAGAAGGCTTTTAAAATCATTGTATAGCTATTAATATAGGTTTTCACACATCCATATATTCAGCTGAATACACAGTAATCAACAATGATGTTCTGTCATGGAGGGCATTAATACAATCAGCTGAATCAAAACAGGAGCAGAAATGTTCAGTGTCTCGGGTTAGTTTTGTATATGTTCATATGACATTAATGCACAGGCAATTTAAATAAGATGAACAGCAAATGAGAGGATGGAATGTGAAGGACAACACAGGGAAATTACGACTGTAGGTACCAAGTTTAGAACACTGATGACAGCACCATAATGATGGCAGGAAAAGCAGAAAATGTTTAATTTTTGGTAGATATCTCCTTGAAATGAATGCTGAAATCTTACACTGATGCCAAGCAAAAATAAGACTCTGTTAGTCAGTTGATAGCTCCGAGATGAATGTACAAGTAAGTTCATATGAAAGTCAAACGTCTTTCCAAGTCAGTATTGCTTAATTCATCACATCCAGCAATGCCAATTAAAAGAACTGTAAATAAACAGAAACAGATAACACTGGGGCCGTCATGTTTAGCTGTGACCAGTCCCTGATACACCAAAAGCTCAACCCTAAAGGAAAATAATCCCAAAGCCAACTGTTTATTTTTGCCACTTTCTCATACCCTCCTCCTTCTAGCAATTTTTTTTTGTTAAGCACAGTATTCTGGTTGTTTTGCCACAAAGACATGGGTGTATACCACACATCAAAAAGAAAACTAGTTATTACCAACTTACTAGTTATTATCTTAAAAGAACACCACCTAATTCATAGCATTTCATGTCTTCTCCAGCATACTTGAAATAAATAAGAAACTAACTCAATGGAGACAGGTAAAAATTGTGTATTAAGTTCTATCCATTTTACTGAGCATTTATGATAAAACTATGTTATATTTTTTGCGGAGAATACAAAAAAAATTTGTTTCTCTTTTTTTTCCTGAGGATAAAGGATAAATATTTAGTACTACTTTTTCAAATTCATGAGTTTAGGAAATTTAGAGAATTTACATTTTTTGGGAAGTTTTTGTCGTTTTTTGCTGGAAAGACAAATGATGAATAATTACTATTTCCAATCACGGTTATCACAAGCTTTTCTGGTCATTTTCTGGTTATTTATAGCTTCAAAAGTGCCATACATATGTAGTCAATATTGTAACACAATCAGCAAATTTCCATTTGTAAACATTTCAGCTTGTAACTCACCAAGTATTTCTACATCATTAGCTAGTTACTGTAACACTGCTTTATTATTTTTTATCTGCTACAAATCAGAGAAACAAATACTAGAAGGATCTACACTGATTAATCCCTAGAAATCTTCTCATTTTCTCCAAGATAAAACATAAAACTATTGATCACTCTGAACAAAAGAAATTAAGAATTTAAATAAGCTGGTTTTTCCTTTCAGAGAGTATTTGAATGTTCAGCTGTACATAAACTAACTGTAACCTGTAGAATGAGCAGACATGATTTAGTTAAAATGAATTAAAGAACTCACCCAGAGAGGCAGATTCATCACACTGACAGAAGACAGACATTTCAAAGATCTGGATCACAAGACCTAATTCTTGGTGTTGTTCCATTGATGTATATTTGTCTAAAATGTTTAATTTCAGTTCTGTAATGGGAATGCACTCACACGGCAGCAGCAGCCTGAGAAGGCTATCATAATGCTATTCCTCTTAACTTCTCATTTTTCCTCAAATTTCCGTTCCTTATAGTTTGATCTGGACTCTGGCACTGTACTTCCATGCACTCCTCTAATACATTATTACAAGTGATAAAGCCTATATAATGTTATATAACAATAATTTTATTAATAGCCAAGTTGTATATCTGTAACCAGAAAAAAATAAATCACATTTGATCTTTTCATGGAAAAAACAACTGGTTTTCCCAGTTTCCTTTAGCAGACATGTTCTCTTAGTAAACTAGAGAAGACCTGCTGCTCTTGGACTCCATCCATTCTTCCTTCCCCAAGAAATAATGCTACTCTCAAAACAACGTCACTGCAAGCAAAGCCTCCCCATATCTGAAGTAGGATTACAGTTTGTTTTACGGTATCCCAGTGCACAATCTGTGAGTTTCATTCAACTTAGCTGAGATAGTGAAATTCTATTACAGAGCCGAAAAACAGGTATTAGGTTGAACGTGTACTGTTAAGGGTAACAGATACTATTTTTAAGGAAACCTTTGCCATCCATGAATAAAAGGATTTTAAACTCTTGTCGAAAGACAGCATTTCAGTCCTGTCTCTTATCTGCTTCTTCTTGGATTATTTAGAAGACAATTTCCAGCCAGAGATTATTCTAAAGTATGGTTATAAAGAAAATTTGTTTTAAAATGAACCTTTATTATTCACTGGAAGTTACTAACATAATTACTACACACATGGTCATTTAAAGAATGCTCATTTTAAAAAAAAAGTGCAAAACCAATGTGTTTCAAATATGTAAATAAAGTATTAAATTTCTGTTATTTTTTTCAAAACTGAACAGAACTATAACTAAAAGGTGAATATTTGGTTTTTCCTATTTCTTTATGAAGACACACAGAACAATAATTTTCTAGGAAACGAAGGGCATTCCTTTCAGCTTAATTCTAAGCCCTGTGCAATGTGTTTCTCTGTACAAAATGAAAGCACCAAAGGCTAGGCAGCTGAGTTATGTCACTCTTCTGACAAAATGCAACAGTATTATCGGATTCATCAGTAATAACTGTGCTGCCGACAAGTTAAAGGCACTTGAGGACACAAAACACTGCTGTTGCAGCTTGGAGCTGAGTTGCAGTGATATTTCAATGAAATGACTTCTTTCCAAAAGTGACACTTACACCCCTCCTCCAGATTCCCTGGAGACCACGACTGCTTCGGTCTGCTGGCTTAACAGCCACAAATACTCAATGCACTATTTTGTACCAAGCTGCACCTCTAGATCACATCTTTGTTGAATAACTAGCACTGCAGACCATGGTAAATTTAACCCACTGCCTGCCTCATCATGAGGAACATGCGTGAAGATGTGCAAAGATGCTTCTCCTAAAAAGGAGTTAGCAGGAAACCAACCAGAGGAAAGTGTTTAACTTTCATGACTGCAACACATTACACCAAATTTTTAAATCTATATTGTCAGATCAAAGCATTGCTTTTACATTTAAAGTTACTGAAATACAGAACTGCATCTATTGTCTTTTTTCAGTATTTTTTCAATAACTGTTTGGGTCATAGTAAGAGGACTGCAAAAAAAAATATTGCTGCAGACTGTAAATGTACACAGTCAAATATGGCTAGCTTCTGGAATCACTAGTCTAAATATCTCACATGGTCACCGACTAGACAATATCCTCTCCATTCAGGTCAAAGATA